AGTCACGTTAAATATTTAAAATTGTTGTTTAAAAAGGGGTCCAAAATAATTCACTTCCACGCAGTCCGTGATTCGATCGTTCCATGTAATAGTGGCAACTGGTATCCTGTGTTAAGTCACGTTAGATATTTAAAATTGCTGTTTAAAGGAATAAAATAATTCATTTCCACGTAGGTGGGTTTAGAATCTCGAAATGATTTAGTGTCTGCGAAATCTCGCAACATTTCCAGCTAATTAGAGTGCATTAGGAACACTTTCGCCGGCTCTGGCTAGGCTTTTCTACATGGAACGAACTGCAGAATGATTTTTCCTGCCCGGGGTCGTGTTGTTTCTGACGGGGTGGACGTCCTGGACGCGGAACTTAACGAGAGGTCAATGTTCACGACACGAAGACATCAGCCTCGCGTCAACTTCAGCAATATTTCACTTCGAAGTCCCTTTGTTCGATCAGGCAAATACAACTTACGTACTCTACCCGGGTTTCAAGAACTTTCAGTTTGACGCTAAACCCGTCACGGTCAAGCGGCCATTTTCAAACGTTTTACTCGAAAAAATTCCACTGTACTCGCATAATCAATTTTTTAATATCCCCCCCTCTCTCTCTCCCTCTCGCGAGATTTCTCTTGAATTTCTCGTATGCAACCTACTTACCTCGTCTACTATATCGAGTCATTTGTGCAATTAAATCACGAATTATAGTATTTATGTTCAGTATCAAGAGACTAGGTGAATAAGAATAAAACACAAGAACTATTCCAAGTCAAAATTAATTCAAAATTACGTCAAAATCGGAGCAAATTTCTAAACAACGAGCTATCGAATCATTTGGTCAGTCAAATGATAATTAGCCACAGTCATAGCGTGAAAAAGAAAATCTCAGTGAATAGTAATCAAACAAGGAAGCATCCTAAGTTAAGATTAACCTTTTGCGCTCGAGAGGTGAGCTTCAGTCACCATTTCATAAAATTTGGAAGATCGATATTAATTAATATATCAAATTTAATGTAATGTAACAGTGTGCGAGGTATCGAAATCAAATAATTCTACAATTCTATTATTATACTTATAAGAATTGTCATTCTTTATTTACTGCTCAAAAAGGTATCGTCACTTCTTTAGTAGAGAATCTTCGAATTTCTACTCTTCTCTAGCCAAAAAATCGTCGAGTGCAAAGGGTTAATTCTGTAGGCACAAGGAAGCATCGTAACCCTTTGCACTCGGCGATTTTTTCGTTGCAGAAAAATAGTAATTCGAAGACTTTCTGCCATAAGGTCGACGATAATATTTTCGAAATGGTAAACAGAAAATTGTATGCAATTTAAGACGTAGAGAATCTTTGAATTTCTACTCTTCTCTAGCCAAAAAATCGTCGAGTGCAAAGGGTTAATTCTGTAGGCACAAGGAAGCATCGTAACCCTTTGCACTCGGCGATTTTTTCGTTGCAGAAAAATAGTAATTCGAAGACTTTCTGCCATAAGGTCGACTATAATATTTTCGAAATGGTAAATAGAAAATTCTATGCAATTTAAGACGTAGAATTATTTTACTTCGATATTCCACGCATCGTTGGCTAATTGTAAATTTGATATGTTAATTAACATCCATCTTTAGAATCTGATTAAATGGCGACTGAGAGGAAGGGTTAACTTAAAATTAACTGGAGTGCAAAGGGTTAACTTAAAATTAATTCCGTCGGTACCAGAAGAAACTTTAAAATAAAATGTTAAGCACGGTTAAGTGCTTCGTAGACAGATGCAGGGTCGATAAGACAGGGATACAAAATACGACGATAAATATTAACCCCAATTGGACGTAAGGGAAAAAGGGGAGAAGAATCGAATGGAAGATGATCGCATCTGGAGTCGGTTTACAGGAGGTAGAACGAAAGCTGTGAATCCGAAGGTGGAATAAGCATGAGGTAATAGTCCCTGATGGACCTGGAACGAGATGGAGGGCCTTATCTCGCGAGTAGACACAAAAGGAAGTTCTCTACCCCGAGAGAGAGTCGCGATGGCCTAGCCAAGGAGAGAAACATCCCGGATATACCCGGGTCTAGAAAATAAACGAGTTCATTCATGTATTTCAGATTCCCTTTAATCTTCCTTGTGTGCATACTCGATCCGGCTGGTAACGATCCTTGCCAATAGCATAGAATTCGTGCTGAAAACTATTCAAATCCTACTTTCATTTTGAACTTCGGAAACAACTTGTGACAATTTTGGTGTGAAACTGTGGGTCCATATTTAATTTAATTTCACGTGTTTCGGATTTTATTTTATATGTATTTTATATATCTGATATATGAGTCTCTTATTTGCAAAATTAAATTCGCGAAACAAGAAATTTTCTATTGTGGAATTTTTTAATATATTGCATTAAATTTTGCAAATTAAATTTACAAAAGAAGGAAATCAATCGATCGAGTGTTTTGGAATTGAAATTTTTCAAAAAATTGGAAAGGGCAGTTACTTTAGTCTGTGAAGGGTAGAGTGGGAAATATTCATCAAAAATTTCTGTAACAATTTGTAGTGGGAAAAAATAAATATTATATTATCGATATATAAAGGGTGTCCAAAAATTTATATAGAAAAGTATTGTCAACGACAAAAAAGATATTACTTGACAATTGACAATTTAGGGTTATTAAAAATGGAGTGCTACACGGAAGAACAAATTTTCATAGCGTCTTGAGCAATATTTGCAATTTTTAATTAAAAACCTGTGTTTTCTATCAAAATTACTTCTTGCATATTTTCACATATTTCATGTAATTTCTCCTTATTCGAATCGAAATATTTAACGTATATTTTCCTATCAATAACGATTTTGGATGTTTCACGAGCGTTGTAAGACTCAGATCGCAGTGGAAATTGGTAGTAAACGGAAGTGCCGGAAAATCGGTAAGATATGGGACGTGCAAAGGAACAAAGTATCCAGTGGATTCTTCATACGTTTCACTCTCGCGACTTCCAAAGTCGGTTCAGCTCGCGTGCGTCCCGAGCTGCGTGGTACGTTCGACTGAAATTATCAGGAATTAAATGCCATTAAATTTACGATTGCTCGCCGACAATTACCGGTCCGTAGGAAGCGGAGAAGAGACGCGCGCCGTTACTCGCGCCGGTTACCCTCTGGTAGCGGTAATAACAGGGGAGGCCTGAAATTGTGGTTTCACCCGATACCCCTTCTCGATAGGGGCATCGTTTCAGAATTTATTGACCGCATTGATCACGAACACCCTTATCAATGACGTCGCCAGCCGATGGAAACGCTCGTCCCATCCGTGGATAGTTTTCTCAGTTTATCATCTACTCTTAGCTTGGTTACTGGCAAATGTAAGTTCATATTCTCTTTCCTCGCTTTTCGAAAATTTTGGGGGGATTTTTCATCTGGGGTGGTTCAGAGGATTTATCGTATATAAATTTAGGGGTGAATATGTAATACCCATTAGACCTTCTTAATATTTATTTGATCTTTCATTTTGAAGTTGTTCAGATTTATCGACTTGAAAATTTAAGGGTGTAAAACGAGGAATAAAAATTATCACGAATACCTTTCTAAGATTTTTGTGTTTAATAATTTCACTGTTAACGCTAGAACTACCGATCTTTAATGGGTACCTAATTGTAACGTGCTCAGATTATAGTAATTTTAGCGGTTACGATGAATATGAGTGAATATATTGATTACAGTTCTTTCTTATTATGAGTTGATACCAATTTTATTCTTAAAGCAGGTGTATGTGTTCGGTGATTGAAAAAAGGAAAATTCTGGGACCAGTCATTTTCACTGGGTTGGTAGTTCTAGTGTTAAGTAGTCTCATTCCAATTCCTCTAACCTAACCTCTTTAATCGGTGGTAGTTCTAGCAGTTTGTCGAAGAATAATTACTTTCAGTTATTTTTGGATTAACCCTTCCACGAAAAATTTCTATCGTACAATTTGTATCGTTTTTAATCGTACAAGGAATATGACACACGTAACAAGACAAAAATTCGAAGATTATATCGGTAAAATAAGAAAATAATTCAACGGTACACGCGATGTTTACGGTAGACGTTTATCGGAGATGTGAACCGTGGTGGCGCTAGTGAGTTAAATGGAAAATCGCTTTACTGCCGAAACGCTTACTCGTGAAGGGGTTAATATCGGAAGAGTTATGTTCACGGTTCTTCAATTACTCGGGCACGATGATTCGTGCGTTGAAGTCGCCACTGTCTAGCCATTATCCACACATTCCAGCTTCTAAAATCGCGTAATACCAGTCGACCGAGGATCGTACTTTGCGCCTCTAAATTATGCAAACGAACCACGCATACGATTGGCGCTATGCACTTGCATGATCCGTGGATCCGAGTTCACGGACGAGTTCTCTCATGGTCTCAGATCTCTCAAGGATCACGTATCAAGGATACTAAAAGTAATTTTCTGCTTAAAAACAATGGTATTGATTCTTCATACGTATTTATCGCTAATTAATCCGATAATTGTTAAAATTTTGTTTTATATTTATAAAATTTGAAAGTATTTAAACTCTGTTCTCGGTAATTTTTAGACTATTGAAAATGAAACGTTTAATGTTTCTAAAGCCAATTTAAATTTCATTTAACATAACCTCAATATACTATGGAACGAATGAACCGTGTTACAGGTAAATTGGTTATATTTTTATGGTACACTCGAGCACTTATAACAAGGTGCTCTGAAATTGGTATTTCCATGTAACGAAGTGGAAAAATTGCGACGATTTTCTTCCAATATACGATATTCTTGTGATTCCATTTCCATAATATAGTGTCGGTATTAATTTATAGTAATTTTAAGATCCGTTTAACATGGAACGAGTGCGATTCGTTGTATTTCTACGTCCAAACTTCGATGGGATTTTGTGGGTATTTAAAACGAATTTTTCCAGCAACAGAATTAATTCGCGTTGATTTAATTTTTAGTTATCGAATGTCCATCGAACTATGCAATTACCTCGGTTTTGTCTTGCGACTTACTGCAGGGAGAATCATTGCGAAATTGAGCGGCGGCGGCGGAACAAGATGACCGCCTATATCACCGAATTGTCCGACATGGTGCCGACGTGTTCAGCCCTGGCCAGGAAACCGGACAAATTGACCATACTCAGGATGGCAGTCGCCCATATGAGGAACCTCAGAGGTGAGTCCCTCCTTCGTTTTCTGCTCTCTTCTTTACTCAAAGGAAACGAGGGGAACCTTAAGAATGATGATGTGGAAGAATCGAAGAATTTCTTTGGTTCCCCTTGATTCCTTTTAGCATTTAAGTCACTTGGCCCTTTGCACGCGAGAAACGAAGATGGCGATACATGGAGTGTATAATAAATAATTAAAAATAAGAAATTGAGGAAAAGTTTCTGAATTAAAAAATATCTACAGGAACGATGAAAATGCTGTCATCCAGTTATATTTTGATATCATCCAAGCAAGCATCTCGCACTCTGAAAAATAAAAAATCCCTATTAAAATTTAGCCATGTATAAAGGAATATTGATTAGCAGTTTATAATTGTATATAAATAATTGATTAGGATTAAATAATTTCTCAGGGTCTTCTTAGCTCCTTTCAAAACTCTTAACAGATTGTCTCAGGTCAGTTAATATCTAGTGAAATTTAGCATATGTTATACATAAAGTAATATTATTTAACAATTTGGACCAGAATTTTTGATCTGTTCACGACTCACTGGAGATAAAGGTTGATTTACATTATTTTTCTTTTGCGACGTTAACGGTAGGTCCATATTGTCAAGCTTCCATGCCGATAAACGAAGGAATCGAGTGAGCTGTACGGAGCGTAATTCAATCGGTCCGAGGCAAAGCTTAAAGATCGCATTGCCAAAGTTATTTTGCTGCTCGTGCCGGATAACTCAAACATCGGCGATGCTTAATCGTCACGTCTCGCATTGAACTACTTTGTGCCTTATCAGACAGCCAGCAGCTCGGTAAAAATGCATATTTCTGTAGCTCAATATTGCGACCACTTGACTTCTGTCATCTGCGCGCAATTCCTTTAAAAACCTCGCAGAACGCGATAATTGGACATCCCATTTATGGAACCTGTAATTATTTTTAATCTTATAGTACTGTCAATTTATAATTAATTTATGAATATTAATTTGGTAATTCGGGAGGATTATGATCATTCATACCTTTATGCTGCATTAACATAAATTATTATAATAGTGGATCGTTTTAGTGCCTCATACAATGATGTAATCTTACGTCAGCAGCTACACATATGTTAGATTAATCCAACTGTCTTTGTTATCTAAACCCTGGATCGTTACCTAGAATCCTGTCAGCTGGAATATTAGAATCGTTTCAATGTACTTCAACGATTTTCTGGTCTCAAAGATTACCTAGATTCGTGGAAAAATAGACTACAGGTTTTTCCAGCAATTACTATAACTTTACAAACCAAACCACAAATCGTCGAGATTGTTTTTCATTGATCACTTTCTTCCAATAGTCTACAATAGAATCTCATCTCTTGATCCTCAAAAAATTCTCAAAAGAGTCTTGACTTGCCAAGCAATTCTCTCAAAGCCACTGAAAAATGCAATTTATAATTATTTGCACTCATAATTTTGTTTTTAACTCTTTAAAAACTCTGTAAATAATCCTCAATCACAGAATAACTAACTCAAGATCTCCTCAAAGCTGCAACAATAACCGTATACCCCATAATCTTGAAATACCCCGTATAACTTGGGAAACTCTTAACCCAATTCTTCCCCAAACTAACAGTAGTGATCACTTACCCAATATTTTTGCTTTCCAACTTCGTAAAAGTGCTAAAAATTCGCTCGAGCCATCTCCAAAATAACATATCCCAGGAGCAAGACCTAAAATTAGCAATACTGCTACCAAGATTCCTACCAATTTCTTCCAAAACTTTACCAGAACTCCAACCACCCCATGAATCTCCTCCACTGAGAAGAAAAGAAGAGGAAAGGGACACGGGTCGTTTTGGATACCTTGAAAGCCCAGGTGTTGGATGACCAACGATCCATTGACTCTTAATCACTAAAAGGACCTAGCTGATAAACGCAGGCCAACGTCAGAGATCAAAACAGCTTACTCATTCTTACTTTGACCAAGGACCAATTCGTCATCTTCATCCCTCCAAAGCCAAGAATATGAGCACCTCTGAAAATTGTACAGGGTTAGTTCCTTCTTCATAGTACACTGTTGTATTTTCTCATAGTCTCGTTGTAGAGTTCGTATTGCAAATAGAAGCATATTGAAAAGAAGAAGTATATTCCGAAGTACATTGAAAAGATCAGTTGGTCTACAACCTTCTTCGTCCGGGTTCCAGCGCAGGTCTCTAGCCCAAACTGCGATTGGGAGCGATCTCGTGGATGAACGACATAATACCCGGGCCCAGAGGAAGCAAGGGATGTCCCAAGGCGGAGTCAGTCGGTTCTCTCGTCACTCGTGTCTCTTTCTCCGGAGAATTCATCCGGCCGGTGCGCACCGGAACGGTCGTAATTCACCGAAGGTTTCGTCGTGCGCTGGTCATATCGAATGCAGAAAGCGCGATATATGCTTCCGGTGCAAGAATGGGTGGAGTTGCCCCGTCGGCTGTCCCTTTAGCCCCGGCTCCCTTCTACGCTGCGTGCACACACGCGTCCATGCGACCTCTCTTTACCTCTCTTTACCGCTCTTTACTCCTCTTTACTCCTCTCTCTTCTTCTCGTCGCTCGTTCCCGTCCACCCTCTGCCTCTCCACCTTCTACCGCTGGATCGGTGTGCGTGCCGTGATTCCAGCTAAGTATTGGTGGTGCGTCGCATTGTTTATAGCCACTTCTCCTCTTTCCCGACAACAGGGCCGCTGAATACAAATTGCTCGAACCGGAGAGCTTCTCTCCTGTTCTTGCTCGTTGCCTGTCTGCGCCGTCTTTACCTGCCGAGAGGAGAGAGGCGATCGCCTCCGGGATACGTCGCTCGTTCGCGCGCGTACACGCACCCACCCTCGGCCGAGACACGGTGCACCCGTGGGACGTGGCAGAGACACTTTTCCACGCAGTTTTCCCGCTCTTCTGATTTTCACTCGCTCGGCCATTAAACCGCGGATTTCCAGGCCTTTGATCGATTGGTTTCACGCTTTCGTAGCTTTGCTCGCTCGTCAATTCCTTTTTCGCTCTGACGTAATATTACGTCTTGCGGTTAGTCCTCTGAGACATAAAAGCGTATCTGTTCGTAGTCGATTCATGCTGACGTAAAATTACGTCTCGTTGTGGGACCTCGGTAATTGTTGTTGACGTTATATTCTTTGCGCGAACTTGTAGGTGGTCTACGTTGACGTAATATTACGTCTTTTTATGAATCACAGTTGTTCCACGCTAACGTAATATTAGGTTGTTTTGTACAAGTGCAAAGAGATACGAAGATTTAGCAGAAATTAACAGCCACGAAGGTGTTAGTTTAAAAGTTAGGACATTTTAGAAGCAGCAGACATAGTAATAGGTTTATTGATTTTTCTTGGAGTTTATTTTTACTGGGTGATTGTTCAATGAGAATTATTTCCTTGAATCGATAGATCGTATCAGCTTCCGGTGCCTGTGTTGTTCTCTGACAGCCCCGTGGTGTATGAGAATTAAATTTCAATGAATCTTTGGAATGAGCAGAACAGCGATTCGAATAAATTCCGTATATCCATCGTCGTTAAATTATCTTCATTCTTCCAGCAACTGCCGTAGAGAATAGGTTACCAGTGACTTATGCTTGATTGTATATACCGATTCAAACTCTATAAATCATCCGACATGAGTTTACGGTCTAATCCTGTTTATACTTCATTAAGCTCTAACCCATTTATCCAAGCATCGAACATGTACAATAATAGATACGCCACCGTGTATCTAAAACAATACCAAACATTCCATCACACGCTAACCACAGCTGTACCTTTTACTCCACCTTCTATCCCGGCTTATATCCATCAATCACTAAACCACTTACCCTGACATCAGAATCTATAATAATAAACCTTTAATAAAATACCCGGATGAAACCAAACACCTATATACACGTTAACCATAACATAACCTCAACCTCTAAGCCAAACACTACTCTTTCAAACGCTCAACAACTATAATTAACTTCTTTTCCATGTACCTCTTTCGTGTCACTTCTTTCATTCCTATAAAACACCAAATCTTTCTCATTTAAAGCCATCATAGTCTTTTTACCATTGACTCTTCTGTCCTCCAGAAAGATTGGCCTGAAGCATAGATCTGAAAAAGATAATACTTAAGCAGTGTCCAGAAGACGTCAGAGATTTCGCTATTAAATTTTTCTAATATTTCACGGACTTGCCAAACAACGTAAGCAATAAAAGCGGTGCCCCGTGCACGTGAAACCAAGATGGAAAGCATTGGAAGATCGCCTCGAGCAACATGTTTCGCTAGATAGGTCAAGGGGAGCATCCGCGTCTTCTTTCGATGGAAGGGACCGAGTGGTATCACGGCGGCATTAATGTCCATCGAAAGACCGTTCCTCTACGTGGAAGGTAATGGTAACGAAGGTCACCCGGGGTCTTCCATAGATCTTGTTTGGAAGTCGTTAAAGTACCTCTTCCCGGAATTTCTCCGTATATCGGGGTAAAGATCGCATCGCGACCCTCTCTCTCTTTTTCTCTCTCTCTCTCCCTTTCTCCCTTTCTCGTTCTTTCTTTCTTTCTCTTTCTGCTGCCTCTTGCTCGCGGGATCCTGTCCGCTTTGCAATTCCGATCTTGCACCTCGATAGTTACCTACGCTGCCGAGCTGCCCCGTCCTCATTTTTGGTACCGTGCTCCTTCCTTCTCCCTTCCTCCATTGCTCTTTTCTCGTTTTCTTGCTTCGAGAGTTCGCGTTTCTTGTTGAATTTAAAAGATTTTTCTTCTCTCTTCTTTTTTTCCTTTTTATTCTCGGTTCGCGAAGTTTCGCGACCAAGCGAGAGGCCTCTCGTGGTTCGTTGGGCGCAGGATTTATCGTTTTATCGAGGGAAATGGTAACGGGAATTTAGCGGTCGTTCGAGATTGTTTGACGAGGTTTGCGGTGGATTTTACGTTGGTTTCTGATAAGCCAATACTCGACGAGTGACGATTAGTGTTGCGTGATAAGTGGAGAAACATTAAGTAATTTGTTCCAAAGTCTCGTAGACTGTTTCCCATAATAATATTTGTAAAATGTTTCATAATGTCTGTATCTGAAACATTCATAAATGATTGACTCCACTTTTAGAATTTTTCCAAATTTTTGTGCCAAAGCACTTGATTAATGTTTCATTTTCCATATTTAAAATAATTTTCTGCCTCTTGTTCTCTTGTAATTTTTTGGATTCCATATATACCAATCACGACAAAATTGGGATTCTGTTATCCATATTGATATTAGCGTCCGTAATGAAGTAATGGGATTTCGTTGAAAAAGGGCATCCAATCCACACGTGGAAAAGTAGTAGCACGTATCCAGGGACAAGCATTCGTTTCGCTTGAAAAGTGTTCCTCGTTACACGTGCACTCGATGTCGAGCGACCAGGTAGATCCCTCGATCGATACGGACCATTTACATCAAACGCGATATAAAAGTCCAATCTCCTTGAAAGAAAAAGAAAACACGTATCTCAGAGGAACAACTAATTTCCTGTTCCTGGACAAAACAATCCTGAGATTGAAGTTACATCAATCCCTCGAGAAAAAATCGATATGGGACTCGATACTTTAATTTAATTAGAATACTCCAGGCCTAGTATTTTCTGTACTTCTCAGACCACTAATAAACCAATAAACCTAAAAGCAAATAATAAAATTAAGTACTATAATTAAAATTAAAATAACCTCAAATACTCACTACTATTGCGACTACGTTGATCATAGCGGTAACAAAATACTGATAATGATCGCACATGTGAGTCCACGCTCTATGATAAACGTTTATTTCATAACCTATATATGCATTCATACCTATAAAAAGATTACATATAAAGTCGTTAACCAAAAACATAAGTCGTTCGGGATTTAGATTTTCATTTTTGATCGCCATAGATTAAAAATTAATTAAATATCCACAAAGAGAAAAGTACGAATTTTGTGGCAGGAACAGGAAACACCAGCTCGGACGGTGCATACAAGCCCTCGTTTTTAACCGATCAAGAGCTGAAACACCTGATCCTGGAGGCGGCGGATGGTTTCTTATTCGTCGTCAGCTGCAACACCGGGACGATCATCTACGTATCCGATTCCGTGGCGCCAGTTTTGAACTACACGCAAAACGATTGGTACGGCACCAGCCTCTATTCACAGGTCCATCCGGACGATACAGAGAAAGTGAAGGAACAATTGAGTGGTGCCGAACCGGAAAACGGAGGCAGAGTACTGGACTTAAAAACGGGGACTGTGAAAAAAGAAGGACAGTGTAAGTATATCTTTTCCTTTTCTCGCATAAATTAAGTGGTAAATATTGATAATTTAGTGTATAATTTTTATTGCAACGAGAATTTAATCTTTATGGTCACACTTGACGATCTATATCAATTGGTTCATAGTCAATAACGTATTTACGTTGGCATACTATATTTTTGTGAAATTAAGTTATGATACAGAAGATTCTGTATATCAAAAACTAAAAGGAATCAAATAAAACAGAAGGTCGAATCCAAATCAACGTAGAATCGTAATGGATTATCAAATTCATATTCTGAACTTGACAGAAATTTTTAAATAGAGATTTTAGGTTGGTATCAATACCTCGTATCGATATTCGTTGCGATACTAATAACTTCATGACCATAGAATATGTCAATAAATAAGTTACTTTAAACAATGTAGTTTCTCAAAAGTCCACGATCGTAAAAGTAATATTAAACTTGCAACATTACACATTCCACATTATCATAAATTGTATCAAACTATTCTAACCTAGAAAATAACCATTCTAACGCGAGTAAATTATCCTAACCTCAAAACGTTTCGATACTTCGTGATTGTAGAAATAATATTAATTAATCCAATTTCACAGCATCGATGAAAATATGTATGGGCTCAAGGAGAGGTTTCATCTGTCGTATGAAGGTGGGCAACATGCAAACAACCGGCGACATGGCTGCCGCCCATGGACTCCACCACGTGAAACAGAGGAACTCGCTCGGTCCGCCCTCACGCGATGGTCAAAATTATGCGGTGGTTCATTGTACAGGGTACATCAAGAGTTGGCCCGCAAATGGTGAGTTTGCTACAGGTTACAACGATCGATGTTGTTCCCAATGATGATGTACGTCGCCGTCGATGTATAACGGGGCCGCTGTTGATGGCCGCGCGCGAGACGTAGCGCCAACTTTCTATTTTAAAGCGAGGGAGACGTCGGCGTGCAGCAAGAATATGAACGAACCCGGCGGCTTCGTAGAATACACGAGGATAGCGACGTTTGTACTATAAATTAAGGGGGCCGGCACTCGGTGGCGAGCACGGATAGTATGATCGGTTTATAAAGAATGAATGGAATCGTCTTGACCTAACAGCCGACAGAACGGCTGGAATACCGATAAACTATGTCGAGACGGACCCGATGCGGAATTCGTATGCCTTATCGCGGCCCCCGATGCATAATAACGGGCCCCTCTGCGAACGATTTTCGCGCGTTTCCGCCTTCGATCGCGTTCCAGTCTTTCCAATTTTATTTTGTATCGAGTTATAAATATTCTTTCGTTAAAACTTGTACGTAAGAGCTGTTTGCAATTATACCGATGCCATCGAATGCCGTGAGATAATATTTTGGGGGGAAATACATTTAAAAAAATCTCTGAGAAATTAAAATAATTTTAAGTTGGATAGAATTTAAACAAAATTTTTCATAGTGTTTAAGAAAATACTGTAAATTTGTATTCGAATAAAATTTTAATTTTACTCTAAATTCTAACCGTCTTAAATGTAGTTATTATTTTTGGCAGCATGTAAATCATGATCATTTACCGATTATGAGGAATCATGGACTGACTTATTATTTTGCGCTGTAGGTGATTTTGTTCCCCCATGTGTACCAGGTATGGGTCTAGTTGACAGGGAAGCTGCTGGTGTTCAAGTCGGACCTGACGGCGTGATCACAGAAGAAAACAATAGCACTCACTGCTGCCTGGTTGCCATTGGGCGGCTACAGGTCACTAGTACACCAAATAGTAGCGATTTAGCAGGTTCCAATAGCAATAATGGTGAATATTAAATGTTTTTATTATTAAATAACACTTTATGTAATTCGCCTAATAAGACGAACATTACGATTAATTATCCTTCTTTAATGTTTCAGAATTTATTTCACGTCATTCAGCAGAAGGTAAATTTACCTTCGTGGACCAAAGAGTCGGTGGAATTCTAGGGTACACGCCTTCCGAACTCTTAGGTCACCCGTGTTACGAATTCTTTCACCCAGAGGATTTGACGCATATGCGAGAAAGTTTCGAGCAAGGTGAAACTTCTTAAGCCTAAGAAAAGCAATTGTATACATGTTCCTTATTGTTAATGAGCATCTGTTGTTGCAGTGCTTAAGATGAAAGGACGAGTAATGTCTATGATGTACAGATTTCGAGCCAAAAATCGTGACTGGGTGTGGTTAAGGACATCTGCATTTGCATTTATAAACCCGTTCAGTGACGACGTTGAATACATCGTCTGCACAAATACACATACCAAGTATGAGTCGTTATGGCGGATGCTGAACAGTTTATTTCACTTATTTCGTATCATGCAGATGTATTAATAAATCTTAACACATTCACAACATCCCTACTATGCTTAAAATATTGATAAGTACCTCATAATAAATAAGTAAACAATCTAATTTCTTTTCCAAGCGTTGTTCACTTCCAATTATTTCTTATAATTATTTTAAAAAGAAATATTATTTATTTCAATTTGATAAAGAACGAAAAATATGTTTTGAAGTTTCATCACTTGCTTTAAGCAACTTACAGAAATTAAAAATTAGTTGTAAGTAACTAGAAGCAGCTTAGGTTGAATCATTCTCTTTCATTTACGAATACTTTCATCCTATACCATACTATTTCTTTCGCTTTTTGCTATATTATAAACAATTTGAAGAGCGGAAGTGTTAAATTACTTGTATTTTAATATTCAAGGTCGTTCCATCCTGGTAGTGATGGACAAACAGAAAATGAAGCTGTACCTGCTTATGGACAACCTGGCCTCGATTATTCCCTTCAGAGACACCCTGCTAGGGATCCCCTATATTCTGGGCATCACATGATGCAACACCCGGCGACCGTTGCTACAGCTGGTAAACTATTAATTATACATTATTTATTGTATTAAATTTTGTATTTCTTTTTTAGTCACTTTCGTTATATTTGGAGTTTACCAGCTTATTATATTAATATAGCTGTAAAAACATTAGGTCCTCAACAGCCTAGGCCGTCCAGTACACAAAATGTTTATCAGGGATATGAAACAACACAATCACCTATAGCTTATGGCTCACCTGGCCAGCAGAGTGCATCATCTTCAGTTTTAAGTAGAATTCAAAAACCAGCTAACACTTCGCCAACTCCAGTGCAACAAGCGTGGACTATTGGAAGACAGGTAAATATATAACAATAATAATTTAATACTTAAATTTTATCTAGAAAATTTTCTGGAAACTAAGTTATAATATTATTTATTGTTTTAGCAACCTGTAACAGAAGGATATCAGTACAATCAGTTAAGTCCTTCGAGGTCACCAAATGGACCAACTTATACTCAATTAAGTAGCGGCGCTAGGACACCGGCTACACAATACCATGCGGTCACAACAGTACCTAATAATCCCGGTAAGCCTAATTTGAACATAAACAAATAATCTAATGTCTACAATATTGTTTTTATTCAGTCGTAACAAAACAGAAAGATAAATAACCGAGACTCTTTAGGTATGTGGGGATGGCAGAGTCAGCAACATCAAGCACCTCAACAAGATGGGGGACAATCAAATCCTCAAGTGACCGGACAAGCACAACCGCCCCATCCTTCCCAAGGTGGACCTGGCACACAACCTCAAGAATTATCTGACATGTTACAGATGTTACAAGATCAGGGTGGTGCATCCGGTTTCGAGGAGTTAAATATGTTCAATACAAATTTCGAGTAGCGACAAGAAAGCAGCATAGCGGATAAACATCTACCTTAAGAAAGCTTTAAGGTTCGAATTTCATTGGTAGAATCCCGGAATTGTTCCAAGTATCGTAAATCACATTTTTACTTCAGCATTTAATTGCGATACGAAAATTCACCAGTCAGCACCTCACGCGTACTCTAATCGAATCGACTAATTTACAATAGGTTCACCTTACTTTTTGTGAGAAGTTTCCATTTTTTTTTTTCTGGTTTACGGTACGATTTTAGCAATTGTATGAAAACTTGCGTGTTTCAATTATCCGAAATTCGTAAATATTGTTTTGCAAAAGTGCCATTAAATGTTGTATTGGGAAAATAGAATATAGAAAGAGGGAACTTATAATACGCACAGATGGATCAATTGTCGAAACTCAGAAGATTGATAACGAAATATAAATTTTAAGATTTGATATAACAAATAATACAGAAGAATTATTCAAAAAGAAATTATAACTTCTATCTTTAAGCATTGTTTTTTTTTCTTTTATTTTTTCTTTCTTTGTTTTGTTTGCTTTTTGCAATTCAAATATAGCTTAAATCGTGTTTAATGATTGTAAGGTAATTCTTTGTATTATTTCCTACTATTGATCTGATTTTAAAATATCTAGAGGAAGGAGTTTTAATGGAAGCAGTGTAAATTAGGAAACGAATGTTTAACTCTCTTCGCTGTTTAAAAAAGGTACGCAATTGTAGTAACGTAAGTTATATTTAAATTGTACATGAAGTTTCAAGAATGGTAAGGTAATAATAGAAAAACTTAAAATTTCATGGAGCTATTGTTAAATGGATGTAAGTATATGTATAAAATTTTGGATAAAAAAAAACAAAAATGCGTGTAAGATTTCTAATTGTTCGAGAGAAAGCTTCATTAGGATTGCAAACGAACATGTTGCATCGAACTGCATGTATTTTGTACGATTATTATCACTTTACATTTTTATAGAAATTTTACGCCTCATCTGTGCTTATTAATAAGTAATAGAGAGTAATATCTCTCTTTTTTACGTAGTAGTGATTTTATTTCGAAGGAAAAGCTAGCGCACTTCGATGAACGTTCAAGGTGGTGCATTCTAAACGATAAGGAAAACAAAAATAAAACAAACTATTTTTAAAAACTTCTCAATCAAACTTAACACAAATCACGGTAATTTTAATACCAGCTTATGGTTAGATTTTTAAGGTTAGCTTAATTATTTTAATTTAGATCTTTGTAATTATAAATAGTGCAATCGTCAAAATCGACGCTGAACGGGAAAAAGCATTGTTTAAACTCAATAACAAGAATGATGTACAAAAAAATTATATGTAATCCACTTTGCTTCTCTGTGCAAACAAAAAAAGCAAACACCATTTTTAGATATTTCTAAAGAAAATATAGATAATGTTACACATACGAAATCATAATTGCATTTATAAGTAACCACGTGTGATTTAGTGCATTGTAGATGTACATGTCTAGCAAATTCTTATTAAGTAGATCGAAGGAACAGTTGCAGCATATCATGATGAATTGGGAACATTTGTCACTAATATATATAAAAGTTTACATTACACGTATAATTCTTTTTAATCATCCTTTGTCGAAAGTAGCTACGATTACTGACAATAATTAACATATTGAAGTCGACGAAGGCATCAATATGTATAACGCAAATTATTGATTAAACTTCGAAACATATTTATGAAGCATTCTATGACCCTTCTTTCCC